AAAACAAAAAAACCCCAATTTCCAAACCCAAACCCGTACACATACCTCGCCCAATCCTCCATATTTGCAGCAAATTCATCATTTCCCATTGCTTAGATCTTCATCATACTCATTAAAAATTATTCCTCCTTTGTTTAACACTTTTACGGAGTAAATTGATCGTATTTGAGGTATGTATTTAATTTAACTATTTTATTTGTTTATGATGTTTTTTGGGAATTTATGTTTGTAATTTACAATTTATGTACTATATTGTTGTTCAAGTATGCGAAATAAGTATAACTACATAATACATTGTTGTTTAATTATTGAAATTAAGTATATTTATATATATGTTGTTTAATTTCAAATCAAGTATATGAAGCATACATTATTCTTGCTAAATCATGTATGTAATTTAAGTATATTTACAAACTACATTGTTGAATTAGGTACATTTAAATATATACTACATTGTTGATTAACTAGGTAAATAAGTACATTGTTGAACACTGCGTTGTATATACGCTTAGCTTGAGGATTTAATGAAATCATTGTGGTTTTAGTTGTGTTGTGTATTTGTGTCATCTAATATGTGTTCCGATTGTTATGTAGAACATGGCTTCACAATTGATTGTTTTGTTATGCCGTTGGGGGGTGAAATTTTGTGTGTCGGATCGAACGTCGAGTATAGAGGAGGAAAAATGGAACCATTGGCATTGAAACCTTGTATGACTTACAATGATTTGTTGAAAAAGGTTTATACTTAACTGGTTCAAACCCAACGAATGTTGAACTGAACATTAAAATGAGGTTTGAGAGTGTCAGTGGGATTCAAATCTTACCTGTTTTGAATGATGACCATTTGGAGATTTTGAAGGGTGTCGTTGCAATGAGGTCTCTTCTCACTTATTTGTATGTGGAAATGGTGCCTATATGTACTCAACAGACTATTCGATTCACAGAGCAACAACCTACATATTTTCCCTCATACAATACAAGCTCGTTACAAATGCCCTCATACAACATTCCGTCATTTGAATATGGAATGGGATCTTTCAGTAGAATGTTACACGACGATCAATTTGACATTCCATTCAGTTCACATTTTACTGCACCTGTACATGAAGGGGTGTCGGTGTTAATGTTGCAGCAACCTGGTCCATCTAACTTAAACAATGACATTTCATCACCGATGCAGTTGCACAGTTACTCTCCTACGCAAGAACATGTTCAAGCAACACCATCTCAAACTTTGGTGACTGCTAGCTGAAATTGTTGTAAACAACGAATTGCCTGTTCTTGATATGTATGAGGATACAAATGACGAGGGTGAGGGCGGAGATGAGGAAGATGTTATAAACAACGAATTGTCTGTTGATGCTGTGGCTAGAACTCTATTGCCTTGGTTCACTCAAATAAACGAGAACTATGAGGTGGACATGTATTAGGCTGATTTGGGTAACCAGACTTCGTTTGTTGGCGGGGGAGAATTTGAGAAAGGCATGATTTTTGACAATAAGAAGGTACTCCAAGAAATGGTGAAACTGTATTGCATACAACGGAATCAGTTCTACACCACAGTGACATCGAATGAGAATGTCCTTCATCTTAAATGTAAGAGGAAGTGTGGTTGGTCGCTACGTGGTACAAAAACAAATCTGAATACACATGCCTTTAAGATCGTATCTTACAAGGGCCCACATCGTGAGAACTGCGTGAATGAAGTTTCGCCCAAATATCACCGACACTTGGACTCCTCCATAATCTGTGACTATGTGAAGTCGTTTGTGTAGAAAGATCCATGTTTGAGAGTTGAATAATTCATACAAGATATCATCTCCAACAAATTTCAATTCGATGTTCCCTATCGAAGAGCATGGTCGCCGATATTAGAGGCACAGGGCTGACACACATATGGTTATGAGAGACATTTGGGGTGTTGCCTCCTAATGCTGATGATGGAGTTGTTCAAAGATACGCTCGAGCGTACCTGTTCATGTTAATAGGATCGTTATTTAGTAACAAGAGTGGTAGTCACATACAGTTGATCTACCGACAGCTGTTAGAGAATAGCTGGGAGCGGATACGTGACTACAGCTGGGGTAGTGCGTATCTGGCGACCTTGTATCGCCATCTATGCAGAGCATCCCAGCAAGGTAGATGGGAGATCGGTTGTCCCTTGATTGTACTTCAGGTAGTCCCTTTAATTTTGTACGTTTTTTAATTAAACTATTACGTACTTAAGGTGACTAAACTTAACTTGTGTTTTTTATTACAGTTATGGGCTTGGGAATACATCCACATTGGTAGGCTAGCTAAGGCTGCTAACTATCGACAGCAGGGTGGCCATGAGGAGGAAGACGATTGGGAGCATGCATATGAGGCTCCGCCACTCCCTTCACCAGACGAGGCATGCATACGGTTGCAGGTATGTATGACTTACTGTTAAGTTATCCACTGCACATACCGCTTTATTTTGCTAATAATTTTTCATGAACACTGTTATTATATATAATTAGGTGGTTGGTGCGGAGACTTACTCGTGTGCATGCAGCGAGGAGTCTACCGTATTATAGAGACGCATTCGACAAACTAAGCGAGTCTCAAGTGATCAATTACACTATAAAAACTAATTTAACACCCCGTTCATTGTTTCAATACGTTAATTATGATGTTACTGACGGCGTGTTAATGCAGATGACGTGGGATCCGTACGTCGCTGACTTAGTCGATGCCATGCCCCCATATCTTCGTGATCATCAGATGGAGTGGCGTGCCATGACAGTCCTCATCTGTTTTGAGGTAGTGGAGGCTTACCTCCCCGACAAAGTCATGCGACAGTTCGGCCTTCGTCAGGTTGTCCCCGTCACGTGTGACACGAGTGTCCACTTGCACAAGACAGACCGACGAGGAAAAGGGGACGTGAGTTGGGCAGTTCAGCATGCCCCTTTCATTGACATGTGGGATCAGCAGTTGCAGCACGTCGTGGATGGTGCGCCTTTCCAAGGTCGGATGGAGTATCACGATCCATACATGGTATGGTACAGGAGCATTACCCGATGCTTCATCAACCCTAACTACACCCCACCCTCAACTCATTATCAGCCAGCTTTTGGAGATATCAGTGGATATGTGAGTTTTAGATGGTTTTTTTTTTTTTTTTTTTTTTTTATCAATTTATAATTTCTAATATTATTAAATTGATTGATTGTTGACTTATGCAGGCGTTTGATATGGTGGCTATAAATGATGCACTAGGAATCTTGAGCATATCATATCCCACCATACCGCAGATAGATGAAATTCAAGCGATGACTGTGACTTGCTTACAAAGACATGGTCATGGTCATCTTATCCAAAGGCAGGACCAATCACAGCAACAGTGCGGTGGAGGCTCCTAACAGCATTCACACCGTGAGGTAGGCCATAGTAGTAGGGGACAGACTCACACGTCCCCTACAACGTTCTCGCAGTTTGGTGAAATCCCGGAGGATTTCACCGTACCCATGTCTGCGCTATACTTATCACAAGAGGGACCGTCATCCAGCCAATAGATTCCTCCCCCAGATCCTTTCAGGACTCCTCTCCCATATCCTTTCAGAATTGTAACTCATTACGTTCGTCGTTGGAGACCGCGAGTTGATAGAGAGCAATTACGTCGAATAGATGAATCAGGATCTTTAACGTTTATCCTTGGCAGAATTTTTTTCTAACATTTCAGTTAGAGGTAAAACGCTAACTGGATGGCGTTTTACCCTCAAGCTCAGTTTGATAAATAGTTTTGCCACGCGTCTAATATGAAGTATAATTTCTTAATGAAGCTTCCTTTGGTAATTTTTCCTCTAAATTGCTTCTTTCAATTTTGTTATAATATGGAGCTAACCATTTACTCCATACTTATGCTATGGAGATATAATTATCTATTTTGCGAGAATTAAAAGTCAAATGAAAAGATATTGATGTTTTACACATACTCATTTCTTTGTCCATAATATATTAATATAACAATTTTACAAACGTGTTTCATTTTCAACATCTCTTTAGAAATTTTCAAACTATACAACTTTTTAAGTTTGTTGATAAACTAGAATCAATTTTATATACGTTTACTCTATATTTTAAGAATCCTTAATTGAATATTTGAATGTGCTCCTTTTATTTTATTTTATTTTTAAAAAATATATACTTGTATATATTTCCTAAATATCGAAGCAAATATCTATTTTGATGTGAAGTAAAAGTACTAGTTGCTTTCAAAAAAAAAAAAAAAAAAAAGTACAAGTACTATTTGAGTATTTGTCTTTATTGATGTTGCCATACATGTACATAAAGCATCAATTTTCTACTTATGACAACTTATGTTTTCTTACTTTTCTTTGATAAATAAAGCCTACCTTAACTTGTCCCACGTTCACGAGGATGATTTGGAATTTGTTTACTTGTTGGCTTGTTGCTAGCTCCATATAATTTGGTAAACAGGAAAATAAATCAAACTGATGTTACTGAACCATAAAAATATATTGAACCAAAAGAATATACTGTACAACAAAATTCAATACTTCCCCCTTTTACATCTTTTTTCTTCTTATTCTAGATTCCAAAAAAAAAAAAAAAAAAAAAAAGTGACATTTACTTAATAAAGCATATACAATACTTAAACCAGCTGGAGTCAAAATACTCAAATCAAAACCTGCATTATTCTCAAAATCACATAACTGAATTAACTCTGACATAATCCGACCTGAAAATTAATATGTATAATACTTCGAATATTATTTTACTCCGTATCAAAATACCATGAAAATAACCCGATCTTATCTGACAAAAACAAACACAAATCGACCCGAAAAAACCTAACCCGAAAACGACTAGAACCAAATTGAGATTTGAGAGCGCCACCTCTAAGAAGTTAACCACATAAGACATGAGCTCAATTCCAAAAATGAGACAAGTCTTTATAAATCAGGTGACGCTGACATGGCGGTCTAGCTTTGTCCCCACTCTCTCTAATTTCTGTAAACAAAATAGTCTGCTTTTTAAAACAACTTTTTCCATATTCAAACCTCCCCCTTTTTTCTCTCTCTTTCTCTCTCTTCACTCCTTCAAATCTCCATTTCAATCTCTCTCTTCAACCTTTTTCCCTTCAATTTTTACTAAATCATTTCCATAATCATCCCCTCTTCTATTTATTTTCTTTTAAATATTTCTTTCAATTTATAGTACTGTATTTCCTGTACTTCATCTTCTTTTCTGCTAATTTCATTAAATTCTTACTACAATCACACTTTTAAATTCCTCGATTTCCTTTTCTTTTTTTCTGGGTTTTCTGGGAGTTTTTTTTGAATTTTTAAAAATTTCCCAGAAAATTTTCGTGAATTTTGGGGGTTGAAGAAGAAGATGATGATCAGAGACTTTGATCGAAGAACAAATATCTCAGCCGTTTGATCAACTTGGAACTTTTTAGGGTTTTTCCCTGCTCTTTAGGGTTTTGGGTCATCATTTCAGGTTCGTTTTCTCTCTCTAAAGTAATTGATTAATTGATTTTTTTTGAGGGAAAATTGATTGATTGATTGATGTTGCTTTATTTAATTTTTATTTATTTTTTCTAAATTTCTGGGGTGTATAAGAATTTCCTCTTACTTATCTGGTAGGTGGGAGAGCTGTATTAGTACAACTTTTCATTATTAGGAATTAATTAGTTGCTTTTTTTTTTGTTTTTTGAGGACAATTAATTAGCTGCTTGTTTATGGTATTGTGGTCAATTTTTAATTAATTGTGATTTTTTCTTTTTTTTTTTTGGCTGTTATTATAGTAATTCCTGTTAATTATATGATATGCTTTCTTGAAAGTTCTATTAATGATTGAGAATAGTAATTATATATGCATACGCTTAAAGTTTTCCTTATTTTTCAATTTGGGTATGTAGTAATGATTGAAATGTGATTTTTGATAGAACTTTTGGGATTGTATTATACATTTATACGGAGTAATGGAGTATGTAGTGATTAGGTAATAAGTATATTTATGATGGTTTTAAAGTGGATGCTTGCAAAGCTTTTTTTTCCGTTGATGCCTTGGCAGGTGCTTGGGTATGATCAAATCCTGTATACTTCATTGTTGTTTGTGGCTCCTTATTCGCAGGAAAAAAAAGAGGTTCAATTTGTTGATTGATGATATTATGCTGAATTGGTATGTTAGCCTTTTGTGGGGTTTGTTTCAGAATATGATGCTATTGAGTGATGATTTGGCTGCATATAAGAAGATTAAAAAGGAGAGGTTAAGAATTACTAAGCATCAGTAACACCGATCAACACGTGATGGTTTTCATAAAATACCAAACTTGTACCATTTTAAGAAATGTATAATGCTTATCTGCAGTTCTAAGGGTTGTATGTATCATAATTGTTTATTATGTAGTATAAGAATAAGGAAAACCCTTGGTCACAAATATCAGTACTAGTAAACAATGATGTGATTGTCTGATATATTACTTCAAGGGTTAGATGGCTTTTTGCTTCCTGACCTTCAAATGAAAAGAAAGACTGTTTCAGAATTTTTTCTGTTTCTTTGATTGTATGTTGTTCATTTATGTACATTCATATTAAATAATTGAGCTGGCCTCGATATTTGATATCGATGCAAGAGGTTATTCTCCTGCTCCTCTCTTTCTCTTTTGGCATGGCTTAGAAGTGTAATACTGCTGTTCAGTCATAGCTTATGGGTTTAGTGACCAGAAGATTGGCTCTCCACCATGTACATACAAAAAAGAACATTTTTGAAAAAGGGAGGTAGGGAGTTGGGAGGTAATGAGGAGTGCTATATATTCTCCTCATTTTATGTGGGATGCACTCATGGTTTGAATTTGTCTGCCACTCTGCCAGCCTACCATATCAGCTGTGTTGAATTGTTAAGCCTGTTCGACTTTGCATTTTTTAGCAAAGATTTTCTGTTTAATATTTGCTTTCTATATGTCTTGGATTGCTTGGTCCAGTTATTGAAGATTCTTATAGTCCTTTTTTGCCAGATTTTGTTGGCTTATGACCAATAGTTGATTACGGTCTTTTTTGTGACCAATAGTTGATTACGGTCTTTTTTGAAATATGTGAAATTAATTGATGAAAGAGAAAACAGTAAGAGGGTGGACTACTGATGTGCGGAAGTAAGTTGGTGAAAGCGCAAAATCTGAATAAGAATGACTCAATCTAATCGATAGCCCTATAGGGTATAGTCAGACATATTATGCTGTAGAAATGAAAATTTGAGCAACATGGTGCCGTGATTAATATTACGTTCACCATATGGATCAGAGGATCTAATCAAGGCTAATCTCTGAACTGCTTGCTTTAAGAAAGTATATGGAGTAGACTTATCCTTTCTAGAAGACAGGGGAGATTATTACACAGCTATGAGTAGTTTATGGGAAGAAAGAGATTCTATGAATATGTTGCCTGTTGTGAGTCTTGTGACAACCACTGGGACAGATGTTACAGCCTTGTTTAGGGCAATATTCATATTTTCAAGCAATGTTTTGCCCGCACTTTCTGTTTTGTTTTTTGTGGTGTGTGGGAAAATGTGTTTTTTTTTTTTTTTTCCCCTTCTTTTTTTGGTTTTGTGTTTGTGAACTTTAATCATCTCATCTAGTTTCTCCATATCTGCTTATGAGTTTGTTGTTGATTATTCTTTGCAGGTGGCTTTATAAATTTAAAGAATAAGTCAGGAATATGGTGCACTCTGCTGAACGACCGAAAAATACAGATTCTCCTAAGAGTGGAGTAGGAGAGATAGATACCAGGGCTCCATTTCAGTCTGTCAAAGATGCTGTCAACTTATTTGGTGAGGTTGCCTTTTCCGGAGAAAAACCTGCAATTAAGAAGGCAAAACCACAGTCAGCAGAGGTTTGTTTTGCATGCTTACAAATTTCACTGAGCAAAATACATTTCTTTTGTGAACATTGAGCTTATGTGCTAGAAGAGATGGGTAGGGTGAGCTGAGCAACTAGTGCTCGTTAGGAGATGTTCCTGAAAGTCATTCGATTGTACTATTATTTTTCTGGGGATTATATTCCCTGTTATCCACTTTATTATCCTCTCTTTGTTGCCTCATCTCTGTCTTGGCATTTACTGAGTAGAATGGACTCAGCATTGCTCTGAAAAAAAAATGTAATCATTATTACATTGTAAATTTTAATGGTGTTTGTAATAAGGCATCCACATAGGGTGGGTGGGACATGGGAGTAGGGATGGAGGGCACCGCCACCAGTAGATAGTATTTCCAGCACAATTGCAAAGTGTCTCCGCTAGCTTTGTCCTTGAGATTTTAAACATACTCTTATAGTACTTCCATAGTTCTATTATGAAGTGCTAAAATACTGTTTCATTCAGACCCTTGATCCAGAAGGCAAACTACTACTTCAAGTAAATATAATAAGGACAGGACATCTGAGTGAGACGTATGATTTAGATTTTAGTCCTTTGAAAGCTTAAGTTAAGAATTGACTGTTAGTGAATATTTTATTATTAAATTTGTAGGTTATGTATGGTTGATAACCCCTTTTACTATCTTATGCTTCCTACCCAACACTATTTATACCTTTCACTTAAATTTCACTTATCTTATTAGCCCTAAACTTAACTTATTAGACCTTGTCTTATCTGAAGATTCTGAACCTATCAACCCCATACTTAATTTTTTTCATTTTAGTTGATACATTTCTATACACGTTTGTCAACGTATGATTTTTTTTTGGCCAATGTATGATTTCAAACATCAATATCTTCAATTATTAAGAACATAAAATTATGAAAATGCTACCGTGAAATTTTATTTATTTTTTTGCAATTCCACATGTTGGGATAAGAATATTGATTGACAATGCTTTTTACCAAGCACTTATAATCAGCATATATTGCTTGGGTCAACATGCTGATTGCCCTCAAATGTCCTAAATTCTCCACAATCTGTTTTATAGTCACCAGCATACCACAAAATTTATTAACCTTTCTTATTTTTATTATTGTTAAATATGTGAGCCTTGTTTAAGCCTAAAAATTATTCCCTCCGTCCCATGATACTTGGGACGTTAGGGTGGACACGTAGTTTAAGAAAACTACAAGTGGGTCTATTTAAAACATTTGTTTATCGTAATAAAGGATTCACTTTTGTATTTTTATATTGTAAGAAAACAAAAAGTGGGGGAGGTGGGGGTAGTGAGGAGAGAGAAAATGTAGGATTTAATTGGATTTTGGGGTTTGTGGTCCCAAAGAGAGTATATGAAAATATTTTTTTATTAGTGGTCTCATTCTATATTTAGTAACGTGTCAAGTATTTTAGGACGGACAAAAATGGTAACTGTGTCAAGTATTATGGGACGGAGGGAGTATTATTAAATTTTTGGGGGGAAGGGATGCTTCATCTGTGAAATTCTGCTCTTCACCATTGTTCTAGGTTTATTTAAATTAATCTTTTTTCCGAAACAAAGGTTTATTTAAATTAATTTTATGTTGCAGAGAGCTCTGGTTAAGGAGACAGAACTTCACCTGGCTCAAAAGGAGCTAAACAAGTTAAAGGAACAACTAAGAAATGCCGAAGATACCAAAGCAGAAGCACTTGTAGAACTTGAGAAAGCTAAGAAAACTGTGGAAAGTTTAGCACATAAGCTCAAATATTTAAATGAATCCAAAGAAGCTGCTATTCAAGCTACAGAAACTGCAAAACAACACGCAAAGCAGCTTGAAGATGCGAACAGTGCCAAGCAAGCTGTGACCAATGGTTTCCATAAAGAAGAATCTGGAGATACAAAAGAAAAGTATACGACTGTTATCTCAGAACTTAATGCTGCCAAGCAAGAGTTAGCAAAAGTTCGTCAGGATTATGATACTTCTTTGGAAGCAAAGGCTACTGCCCACAAGCAAGCTGCAGAAGCTGAGCATGCTGCAAAAGCAAACACAGAACGGGCTTCCGAACTTTCGAAAGAAATTTTTTCTCTCAAGGAAACAATTGAGCAAGTAAGGCAGGCTTCAATTTCAGCTCATCAGGAGCAAGCAAGCATCTTCTCTGAGAAAGACCTTGAGAGACGATCTTACAAAGCCAGATTAGAGGAGTCTGTGAAGAAGTTGCAGGAAATGAAGAAAGAGTTTGATCCTGAACTTTCCAAAGACCTGGAGGGAAAACTGGCAGAAGCATTGGGTGAAATTGAGGTTTTAAGAAAGGAAGTGGAAAATGCCAAGGCATCAGATGTAGATTCTGTGAGAACGGTCACTTTGGAGCTGGATGATGCCAAAGAATCCCTGCAAAAGGTGTTGGGAGAGGGAAGTGCCCTTCAGAGCCTGGTGAATTCTCTAAAAGAGGAACTAGAGAATTTGAGAAAGGAGCATGTAGAACTGAAAGAGAAGGAAGCAGAGACGGAATCCATTGCTGGAAATCTGCATGTTAAGCTCCGGAAATGTAAGTCAGAGCTTGAGGCTTCCCTTGAAGGAGAAGCTAAAGCTAGCGGAGCTTCAGACGAAATGATTGCAACATTGAAACAATTAACAGAAGAAGCTGAAAATGCTAGACGTGAAGCAGAAGAGATGAAGACCAAGGCTGAAGAGCTTAAAAAGGAAGCTGCTGCCACCCGGATCTCTCTAGAAGAAGCCGAGGAAAAGTTGAAATTGGCACTTGAAGAAGCAGAGGAAGCAAAAGCTGCTGAAGCAAGTGCCCTTGATCAGATTCAGGCTTTGTCTGAACGAACAGATGCTGCTCGTTCCTCAACCTCCGAATCGGGTGCCAAAATCACGATCTCACGGGATGAGTTCAAGGCTTTGAGCAGGAAGGCAGAGGAATCTGAGAAGCTTGCAGAGATGAAGGTAGAAGCTGCAATGGCACAAGTGGAGGCTGTGAAGGCGAGTGAGAATGAGGCAGTCAAGAGGTTGGAAGCTTCTCGGAAGGAGATAGACAATATGAAGGCTGCAACACAGGAAGCGATAAAGAAGGCTGAGATGGCTGAGGCAGCCAAAAAGGCTGTGGAGAGTGAGCTTCGGAGATGGAGAGAGCGAGAGAAAAAGAAGGCAGCTGAGGCTGCATCCCGCATTTTGGCAGAGACCCAGGCTGTGCAAGCACAGGTTCAGTCACCTATGCAGACACGCACACATATGATGTCAACCAAGTCAGGGCCTGTTGACTACAAGTTTCAAGTACAATATGCTTCAGAACAGGCTAATGGGGGGAAGAATTTGGATAAACCGAAAACTTCAGTGTCAAAGAAAGTACTCTTGCCTAATCTCAGTGGCATATTTCACAAGAAGAAAAGTCAAGCAGAAGGTGGATCGCCATCTTATCTTCCCGATGAGAACTGAATTATTTGACGTTTTGTGATATGGTGAAGGAAACTTCTGCTGCATTTTGGATACGTGTACATTTTGGTAGGAATGTGTTATAATTTGTCATTATGTGGTGAGGACATGAATATGGATGTGAAAGCAGTTAGTCATCCAAAGGTCATTGCTGTATAGAACCAAGGTACTTAATAACTTGCTTGAATTAGTGTAGGTCATTGTATGTTAATCTATGCTTATTGAGTGCATGGAATATGGGGCATGAAATGCCACATCCTTCTCATTACGAAGAGCTTTAGTTTCCGCAATCAAAATGGATGCTGTTCCTAGATAATGTGTAGTGCTGTAGGTTTTTTACCACTGCAGAGGCAAGCTTACATTATCCTGGTTGAGTATCAACTTGTATAGCCCTTTTAATAGGCGGCATATAAGAAGATCTGAACGGCTATACTAACATCATGATTGCCATTTTTGAAAGATTGTTTGTGTCTATATTAATGAAGTTTACCCTTATTACAAATTTAAAATTACGAATATATAATACTTATATTATAGAACTAGCTTATGGTCTCGTGTAATGCATGGATTTTACCAAATTTTATAAAAGTTTGTATTTCAACAATTTTTTATATTTTTTTCTATTATAAATAGTATGACAAAGGTCAATATTCTTTAAAAAAAATGTTTCATAGTAAGCTTTAAGTTGTACATACCCGTATGATATATAAACTCCGTACAAATTTATACTATATTAAAAATTATGCATATCTTTTTAATAATAATATTTTGCTTAAATTTTCGGTAAGTTTTTACAAATTGTTATATTGAATTTGGGAGGGAAAGATTACCTAATATAAAATATATGAAGGGTTTATATATATATATATATATTAGTAAAGTAGGAAAATATTATACAAGAAGTGAATTAAAAATTTCCTAAGATAATTTGACAAAAAAAAGTAAATAAAAAATTAGTGGAAAATTATTTAACCAGATTTTGCCATGTGTCATTTTTTATTCGCCTTTAGTATATAGTTATTATTGATTAAATATATCAAATTAGGCCCGTGTAAGTATAAATATCTTACTCCCTCTGATTTATTACTTGCTCTACTTTCTTTTTGCGGCCGTATTTTATTACTTGCTCACTTTTTTTGGAAACCTTAAACAATATTTTACTAAGTACAATATTTTCCTATCCAGATCACCTTGTATCTTATTATTCACTCTCTTCTCCATTTATACTCACTTTTGCTTTTTTAGATTTTATTTATTCTTCAACTAATCTCACTTTCATCATATTTTATTATTACTTTTTACTATTTTTTTCTTAAATTTCGTGCATGGAGAAATAGAGCAAATAATAAAATACGGAAAGAGTATTTAAATATGTAAAATTGATAAAAATATTCGTAGTCTAAAATTTATGTTATTTTATCGAGACACTCCAACTAGGAACATTATTGATTCAATATAGTACACGTATAATCGACCATATAAGTTGCTGTAATCAGCATCATGTACTCCTTCAGATTGTCCTACATATTTTATTCGACTCCATTATTAAGTATTCTTATATATATAATAATTTCGTTATTATCGGGACTAACCAGTCAACAAAGCTTTCTAACCAACTAAGGTACATTACTTATTACTACTTACTTTAATTAGTGTATTACTCTCTAAAAAAAAAGGTTTATTATGCAAGCAATGAGCGTAGCATTGTAAAATGTATCTAGTCTACACCAATTACAATTGAGTTTACTCTGTTCCCTTTTGCGGTTTAACCACTAGAGTTCGGAGAGATGTTAGCCACATAATAATAATTGTAATAACTTAAATTGTTCTTCATTTGTCTGTCATCAAATTCAATATTCCTTCCATCTTATGATTAATTTAAAGATATATGTAATGATGTTTGTTATATGAACACATGTAATATAAGAAGTTAAAAAAGAAAATAATAAAAATAATTAATTAATTACACTAATCCACACTTGAGTTTATCATAAATTTTCAAATTTATGCCACTTTAAGAAATGTATTGCTTATATGTAGCGTTTAGATTTTCCTAAAAAAAAAAAAAAATACAACAGCGCTTAGATTACATATATCATTAGTCATATATGTATTACGGGGTATTAAACTTTTTGAGTTATTAGGGAGAGGATCTTGCTATAATTAAAAGTAGAAATATTAACTAAAAATAAGTCTTAATTACACCGATCGATGCATAATTTTGGCATGCATTCCCAAATTAATATTATTATATTTAGGAAATATTTTAAAGGGTTATCCAACCCCTTTTAAAATATTTTTACTTTTAATTATCTTATCCAGCGCTCCTACGATGTTTGTTAGCTTTTATAATGCATTTTACAAGTAAGGGGCTGCCTGGAATAGGTGTAATAGGAGGGGGAAAAAATACATGAGTAATAATTCTGAATTTTTTTAAAGTTTGGATCTAGGGTAATTAATCAGTGGGGTAATCTATTTTCCTAAAAGGGGGTTAATAATTACCCACCTCCCCCCTAGCATAACAATTTCCCCCGTAAAAAAAGCACTCTCCTCTACTATACAATATCTTCCTTCTCCCCTGCTATGTACTATCTCCTTCACCTTCACCCACGCAACTGAAGCTGTTGCCGCCATTATAGCCGCCTGATGGAAGCTGCTAGCCGCCACCATAGCTCATCAATTCCATTACGAACAAGTATCTTGAATCGGACCCATTGGTTGAAGAGATAGTTGAACAAAAGATTAGGGCTTTTGATCCTTCAAGTGAGGCGATGCTCGTAGTGGTCTCAAATTTATCAACAACATGATGGCTGCCGCCGATTGCCATGAGTTGGTGGTCTTTACCCCAGGATTGTTGCCAAATCTTAGAAAATGAATTATTACTCTTTAAATCAATGCTCAAGTAGAATCTACCCCATTAGATATTACCCCCTTCATAATTTATGGAATTCCAGGCATGCCCTAAGTGATAACATTTGTCATAGATTGAATGTTTGATAGTACATTTATTAAGAAACAAAATAATATCACACCATTTGCTTTCTGAAAATTTCATCATACACCCGGGTGTATCATGCTCATGGTACACCCGGTCAAAATACAAGAGTTATAAAAACGCAGAATGAACATTGTGTACAAATACAAAGTACACGAGCAAAAAAATAAATCAAAACGATACTCTTCTTGATTTAAGGGATTGAATTGTTATTTATACTCCTTGATTTAAGGAATTAATTTATTATTTACATTTCATATTACTTTTGATAAACAAAATTTTATTTTTTTTAAGAGAGAGAAATTGAGTTTATATAGAGAGAAAAACCATGTTAAATTTTGAATTTCGAAGTGATTTAATGTCATTACGGAGTTGATTTTATCGTTTCGATTAATCTGTTAATCAAAAGATGTACTACCTCTGTTACATATTAGTTGCAATTTTAAGGATTATTTGTGAGAGATAAAATATTCCAAAGTTGCAACTAATATGTGACGGAGGTAGTAATGATGAATTCGTTGTTGAGAGAAAAGTTTTTTTTTCAATTTTTTAATCTATATTTTTTGTTTTGGCATTACTTTCTAAGGTTGAAGACGATATTCTTCATATTTTGATAAATGTTCTTTTATCACTTTTTAATTGGAATAAATATGTTTTTTGAGTCTGTTCAATAAGTTCTTTGAGTAAAAATTATTTGTTCTTTACATTACAAACAATGTTATTTTAAGGTATATAAATTAATCATGTTCATTGGGTATCAATAATACAAATTATGTTCTTTTTACTTGGATAATATGTTCTTAAATTTTGCATTTTGAATTTTTGAAATTTAAAATTATATTTGTTTGAAAATAAATTTAGATAAAGAAATTCTTAATATCTATTTTGAAATGATTTGACATTAAATTTTTGGTAAAACTCAATTAGTAATTATTTTTTACCTTTTTTAAAAACGGTTTCTCTAAAATTACTGTGTTCTTTATATTTCAGATATATACTCTTTTAAAAATTCATGATATTCTTTATAATTATATACTACATTCTTTTCACTTTAATCCGGATGGTACACCCGACCCGGTGTACGAACCACCAATTGAATTTACATTCACAATTCAAACCTCTGAAATCCATTTTTACACTTTCTCTCTCCTCCCTCTTTCTCTTTTTCTCTCTCCTACTTTGCAAAACCCTCTCAAAAATCACAACCCCCTTCTTCTTCTTCTCCAACTCCATTTTCTCTCTCCTCCTCCTCCTCCTCCTCCTCCTTATTCAAATCCTACCATGTCCAGCAACAAAGAAGAACACCCTTTAAGCTTCTCAAACCCAAACCCATCTTCATCTTCTCCAATCACACTCTCTGAAGGTGACAACTCCTCCAGTTATCTCCTCGAACCTCAGATTGGCAGCGCTTCTAACAGCTTCCAAAGCGACAGTATTCTCTACGATTCCGCCGGAACTAGCACTTGTGACCCTGATTTTGGCTTCTTTAGGCCTGATTTCCGCCAAAATACTCTTCTGGGTAGTGTTCAATTCTATGATCGCCATGTTTTTCTTTGCTATAAGAACCCTCGAAATTGGCCCCCTCGTATTGAAGCTGCTGAGTTTGATCGATTGCCTAGGCTTCTTTCTGCTGCTTTGGCTGCTCGTAAATCAGATATGAAGAAAGAGGTTGTCAATTTGTTTTATTTTTTATTTCTTGATTTGGGTTTTTGTTATTTTGAATTGGGTTTGTGTTATTTTTGTTGTTGATTTATCTGTTGTTTTGAAAATATTGCTTAATAATGTGGGGTTTTTGTGAAATTTGATGATTAGTAATAGTATTGTGAGTATGTTTTTTGATATAGTAAATGAAATGGGTTGCTTTGTGAAATATAGAAGGGGGTGAGATTTATGAAGTATCTGATGAATGGTATCGAACTATTGATTTAATAACTGATTGGTGTGCTTTGGCTGGTTGTTTTGAATTCATTTTGATTTGGGTATGCTTTTTTATTTCCTGTTTCACACTCGATTCGGGCTCTTTTGTTTGTTTGTTTCTAATTTTGTCATTGTTCTGCAAAACAGTTGATGAAATCTTTGATCAAAAGTTGTTTTTGTTGTAGTAATTGTGATTTGGCAGTTACTTTTATTCATTTTGCTTTGGGTATGTAATTCATTAGGGCTGTTGAACTTAGTGTTGGGGTTGCATTATTTATTGGTTGTGATTATTGTAGGACAGTTGATTTGGGTTAAATTCTGAGATATTTGGTGAGTATTGAAATACTGAAAGATTTTTTCCTCAGTTCCGAAACTGTTGTCATCTTTGTATTGCTTGGTCTAGTCACTTAGTTGTTCCGAACTCGTTATGATCATTTCTTATTTTGTTGATTGGGTCTATCAGATGGATTGACTACTAAATGCAAGCTTTATTATACTTCCAAGTGGCTGTAATGCAAAATGTAGGTTTCTGGTGTTTTGTGGTCAGGTGTTTCTATTATTATGGGGAATTTTTTTTTTGCCCCTTCCCTCCCTCCTCTTTCAAACTTAGTCTGAATGATTTTGTAAATTGTTATAGATACGTCTTATACATTTGAGGACTACTCCTTATTGACGGATTTTGAAGTAAACTTTAATAAGGCAGCTTTGTAAACATTGTAACCATATCCGTTCAGGTGATGCTATCTTTGTGGCATTTATTTATCTGTTTTCTGGAATTTACTACTTCCTATGCCCTTTTTTGGTCAGGAAGATATATGCATTTATAAACAGACAAAAATATGAGCATGATTGAGTCGTTGTTGCTTTTCAGAGATACATGAAGTATATATTGCTCATGAGTTGATGCTTGCATGTTATATTATTCATCTAGGATCACATCAGAGTGAAATTCAACTTGGTTTTCCATGCCTTCATAATTTTCCCAAACATTGTCATCAACAGCTAGAGTGGAATGTACTTTCTACACTATGCACTTGATTGTTGTCTTAGGTCAGCAGTCAGCACACTTATCAGTGACTCATTGCTGAAGTGAGTACAAGTCTAATTACTTGTATATTATTTATGTCACCTTGTTGTTAGTCAACTTAAAAAGGATGTCATTTGTGCTGTATCATGTAAATGACATGCATAGTCTTGGTTGGCAATATATAGCAGTATGATGGTTTTTGAGACCACCTTTTTAGATTAGTACCACTATGTGCATTTGATATGCTTGTAAACAAAAGGTATTTAGGTATTGTATGGGAAGGAGGTGGCAGGTACTTGAAGCCTGTTAACTAATTGACCCCCAGAATTCAACAATTATGAACTCTACTTTTGTTGCTGTGATCTTTGGTCTATCTGTTGGTCTTTTTTTTTTTTTTTTTTTTTTTTGACAAGACATGGTTGATTATTCTCTCTGTAAGTTAGTGGTAATGTTTATTGAAAATAGCCCCTTAGTCATGCTGCTGCTGAGCATTAGTTTCATGAGCTTGTTTTCTTATCCTATCTATCTTATTTCCTTGCATCCTGAAGACTCGTCTAACAATCTGTGAGGGACGTGATGGAACTGAAACATCTAATGGAGACGTATTAATCTTCCCAGACATGATCAGATACAGGTTCCCAAACATTTTGATGTTTATTTCTTGTATTGTTAATATGTTGCCTCTCTGCATGCTTCTAGTCTTGTGTGGTGGCTTGTTTGCTGTGGCACTCATAACCTTGGGCACAAATGCAGGAGATTGACACATTTTGACGTCGATACTTTTGTCGAAGAAGTTCTAATTAAAGATGGTGAATGGATTCCTGGAAACCCGGAGAAGCTGAAAGGCTTTTACATTTTTGTATGTTGTCATGGGAGCCGAGATCGTCGTTGCGGTGTGTGTGGACCTCCTTTGGTTGCTAGATTCAAGGAAGAGGTAGATTTACATGGTCTTCAAGGAAAAGTCTCCATTGGCCCATGCTCTCATGTTGGTGGTCACAAATATGCTGGAAATGTAATAATCTTTGGATCTGGGATTGATGGGGAAGTCACTGGGCACTGGTAAGGAGTTTATGTTTTCTGGATGCCTCCCTTCCAATATTTTGAGAGTGGTGCTTGACTTAAAGATATTTGAGTTGCTTTAATAGTAATTCTAGCTACTTTCTGCAGGTATGGATATGTTACACCAGACGATGTTCCTAATTTGCTTGAACAGCATGTTTTGAAGGGAGAAATTGTAGAGTGGCTGTGGAGGTGAGTTATCCATTTGTTCACCTCCTTAATACTTTTTATCCTAGAACTTCTAGGTAGTGTGCATTTTAGGTTAGGTTCTGGGATTGTCATTTTTCAAACATGTAGGTGTTCAATTTAACATAAATGCAGTGGGACATGGGGCTTAGGCAATATGAAAAAATATAAAAATGGTGGTATAAGCAGGATTTAAAAAATATAAAAATGGTTGTAATAAGTTTGATGTCTTATCTACTTCAGGGGTCAAATGGGTTTATCTGAGGATGATCAGCAAAAAGCCCAAGAGTTGAGGCTCCAAAACAAAGAAGGAAACCATTCAGGCAATAATAGACAGCTCTCTTCTGAGCTGCCGGAGTCTCCGACAGGTGTATCTCATTCTGGGTCCAACGGATGTTGCCAGGCAAATGGAAATGCTGCATGCTGTCAATATCCCACCTCAGTGGGAAAGGAGGATGATTTTGTTATTCATGACGGAGAAGTAAAAGTAGCCAATGGGAAGAAGGGCAAAAAGCTATTGCGAAATAACAGCTACAATGAGCTTGGAAAGCGGAAGGTATGTGCTATGCCTTCATGGTTTGAGAGCTGGGAGCGTGAAGATACATATGCAGCCCTTGCAGTTGTTTGTGCTGCTGTTTCAGTTGGTATCGCATATAGCTGCTATAAGCAACTGTAAACCTTGTGTGCCTGGCTTTATGTTGTAATGTTAGTAGTGGTCTAATTGATATTTTTAGCAGTTGAATGCATTGTGCATAGAGGAGAATGCAATGTGAATGTGCAGTGGCATTTTTCTCTTCTGCAATCAGATATGAAGATTTGAAATGTAAATGGATTATAATCTGTAAATTTATCAATGGAATGTGATTTTTAGTTCAATTTAGTTTGGAAAACAAAGTTACGAAGATGCTATCTGCACTCATTTAAACCTTCTGTTTTACAGTTTGATAATTGTCTGAACTTGGTGTGTTTAATCAAAATCATATCGGCTTATTGGGATCTTCCTAATCAATACTTAAAGTGCCAAAATCTCTTTGTAAACAGAATATAACATGTATAGTTTGAATTTAAACAGGTAGATATAAAATTTGTTACTAGTTATACTTGTATTCTTTTGAGAGATCTTGGCACTTCTAAGTTATCTTGAAAAAACCAAAAATTCAGGATTGCCTTGTATGATTTTCCAAGGGCAAGAAATCTACCAAAGAAAAGACCAGATTGACGCTTGCTAAATTTTGAATCTTGTCCAATTCTAGCATTGTTTTAAAGTGAAATTACAGAGAAGTGCACATATTCATGGCCAAAAAGTATCAACGAAACATTCAACAGCCATGGTCTTCCATCCCTTGAAAAACTCTTTCTCCAGCCTGTCGTCGAGGCAACTGCCTTATGCACTCAACAAGACTTCTTACACAGTTAACGAGAGGTCTAACTCTTAGTGAAAGACAACCAATCTGCGCAATCACACCTCCTGCAATTGCTACAATAGTTACAGGTTCCATGATATAAAGTTGCTTTGTTAATTTGTAATTTTATGCTGCTAATTTTGTGATTTTATAAAGTTGCATTGCTGTTACGGCAAAGTAGATTTTTAGTGATATAAATGCTTTCTTCAAACACTTACTAACTTAAAAAGGCTTGCAGTTTCATAATAGATGATCAACTTTGGACATTATTTCAAAATTGCAACATGAAATCCTAAATTAGGAGTTATTAGATTACAGGCTACAACAATATACGTTGATAGATAGCAATAACCGGTAGGAACATTCTCGAACATATATAATCATTTATGAGGTGGCTAAAAGAAATTATACAAGATATTATAATATTTAAGAATATGACCTTCAGTCCTGCCTAAGATATATAAGTAGAGGTACAACATCCGCTAAGGTGGTGTTTTCATGCCTCAACCACTTCCAACATGCCTGCATTGAGGTAATCCAAAGCATCGGTAATACATAATCGAAGATGAAAGTATGCTCTTTACGGACTAAAATCTGTCATGAAGTGATTCGTGGCCCCAAGCATTGGTATCTAGCAGATTGCGGACCAAAGGGTGAAAACCCTTTCTGGTTTTTTTCCATATCAGTTAATTTTGATGTCTAGATCACTTATCTGTTTCGAGAGCGATCTTACAAGACCGTTCTGATCCTTCTGGTCTTCCAATCGATGAAATTCTGATTCTATGGTTTTAGCAATTTTGGCATCGTCGGGGTCAGGCTCAGGGAACGCCACATGGAAGGACCCTTGTTGTTTCAAGGGTGCTGTCGGAGCAGCTTGCTCCCTGACATAGTTATATAGTTCTTGATGGAAGGGGTGATCAAAGGAGAAACAATTATCATTCATCCCATTTCTAGAGTGTCGAGAAGACCCAGATCCTTCTCTCTTACAAAAATGTGGGAGGCACGCATAATCCATAATCTGAATCCAGGTAGCATTTCAGAAATTAGTCAGCCCATCATGATGTATTTAGACAACAAAGGTATCCAAATGTTTCACAAATTAGGAAGAAGGAAGGGAAAGGTGTTTTTTTTTTTTTTTTTTTTTTTTTTTTTTTAAACTATAATGGAAAGTAAATCGGATCCTCCATTTCCCTTCCCTTCCCTTCTTTTCCGTCCATTCATATCAAAATAAAGGAAAATGGATCCATTACTTTTCCTTTCCTTCCCCTCTTATAATACTTTCATCCAAACACATTATAAAGGTATCCACATAGAAATACAGAAGGGGGTTTCTGTGCCACAGTTTCGGCAAAAACATGTTGAACATATACAGGGAAAAGAATGTTAAGAATAAAACTAAGTCTTGATAGGTATCTATATCAATAAAAGAACTGAAGAGAAGGGAAATAAATAACTACAAGTTATTTAGTAGTTTACAAAGGAAACAAGTGGCATATTTTTTCTATCCTTCCAAACTGGCGAATTCCTCAATTTTTGAGAGTAAAGGAAAGTGAAGATTTCGAGTAAGTTTCTATTTTCAATTTCCTCTCTTCTTACCAAAACCCATCTATATTTTGTGCCAAAAATGGTAAACTCATTTATTTCATTTCCCTTCCTTTGTTTTGCATCCAAATCCCTATACAAAACAAGACTCTATAATCAAAATTATTATGCATCAATGCTTTGTCATTCAGATCTTTCACTCTAATGCACTAATGTTTAACTCCACTTAAACACTAAATAACCACCTAAGTACAGTAGTCTATTAAAGTATATCAGAATAATCCCAAAAATACCCAGGTCAAATTGTATTGGACAAAAGGGTCTGACAATTATCATTTTATCTACCTGCTAAATACCCATCGAAAGTTAGTAGTTAAGATGGATCACAAAAAAAGAGTAAACAGGCGAAACACTACAGCTAGAAGGAATTCAATCTGCCCACATAATAAACCGTCAGTCTATCCCCTCCCTTCTCATAACTCTTCTCAAATAGGATTTTCCTCGATAATTAGAAACCAAGTTTTTCTGAACCTGACATTTCCAAGAATATGTGAATATAGTATATAGTTAATCATGTGAAGATATCAAGAATATAAATCTATCTGATCAAAGGAATAGTGACATCATACATGTATGCCATTTAACATATTGCAGTACTTAAGGATCTCAATGGCTCAGTAAATCATGCAATTAAATTGATGATCTACGAAGCAATATTACTCCGTACTAAAGTATATAAGTTTACCTTCAGTAACTCATCCCTGCCACATCCTTGAAGAACTTGAATTTTCTTCCGAGTCCTCTCTTGCAGAAGAGGCCTAACAACCTGTTGACATGCCATTAGAGGTGGACCACCTTTGATAGCATCTACTTTAAGTGGAAAGGATTAGATAAGAGGCAAACCTTCCAACATGCTGAGAATATATATGGTGCATTAACGATGTAATAAGTATCAGTCTTCTCTGGATAGTTCAAGTCGTCGATAGTTGTTATTACAGTCAGCAGCTGCAAATGAACAGAAGCGATAAAATGAGTGTTGGTCGCCACATTTAAGGTAAGATAAAATCAGTTCAACATTTTGCATAAAGCAAAGAAGAAGGTAACAAAATGAATAGAGAACCATAAAGAACAGGTTTGAAGAAAGAGAACAGGAAAAGATGGAATGGAACAAAAAGGGTAGGTGTGGGGGACTTGGGAGGGTATATTATTCTTTATACTGAAGATGAGATTCCAAGGATATGTTCCCATCGCCAATTAATGGCATAGAATCTATGTAGCTGTTCCCACCAATTTGGACTAAAGTTGGTAAAGGTATAGTGAAGTATTGAAATGATGAGATTCCGAGTGAATTGAAACAACCTCCAACCAAAACAAAGGACAAGGTCTAGACAATTTTTTGACATCAAATGTGTAGTCCGATATCGTATCAAGGAGCAACATATGCAGGAATGTTTGGAAAGTGTTTAAAGCCCCTATAGCCAACTTATTAGTCTTCTCCAGCTCCGATCATCTTACAATTTTCTCCTCTACATAACTTAAAGGATATCAAATGGACAATGAAAGACTTTAGTAGTGAACCATTAATGGTTTAAAAAGTTACCTTTATTTGATTAAGGGCGGATAATTTTAAGCCAGTCATATCAAGAACCTTGATGCAGCTACTAATCAGTCGTCCACACTTCTGTGATGCCATTGGCTGCAGAACACAAATAAAAAAGTCCTTTAGATATAAAAAAAAAACACGTATATGCTCTACATGCATGCACCCATACTAGCATCATACATTCATACTCAAATACTCACCATCACAACACGGTCTCTGTATTCATTCATTTGGATGTGTGACTGCACGTAGTAGTGGACCTACAGAAAGAAATGTGATGCAAATAAGAAATAACTATAGTATATATATACAACTATACAAGAGTAACAAAGGATAGGAATTAAAAGCAGAGAGATCCTTTTAAGCCAAGCAATATGCTTTGAGTTACAATCACAACACTACACCTTTTTTGGCCAAACAGACAAGATTTTCCCCTACCATTCCAAGCAGCATGCATGGGCAAGAAACAAAGAGCCTATCCGAAGTAATGGAATAACTAATCTTACGATCAATCACCAATAATTTGGAACAGTTTAGTGAAGCTGCAGAGAAGAAAACTGCCGGTGGAACATCTTGTGTTTCTGATCTCAGTGACTAACTCAGTTCAACTATCTCAATGACTCTACCAGGGCAAACAAAGAGTTTATCCAGAATAATGAAATAGCCAAAGTCCCAAATCATGAAGCACTAATCATCCGTGAATTTAGATCAGTCTAGTGAAGCTGCATAAATGACAATAGCCCATGGCACATCTTGATCACAGTTCAATTATTTAATTAAGTGTCGAAATTCAATTCATTTTTTATTTTTTCCTTTGCATTTATTGTAATGCACTAACTAACACTGCAACAGCATAAATACAATTAAAGCAACTTAATCCCCTGATTATCATTCAATACACTTTCTAAATGGTAAAAAGGGCCAACAAGTGAATAACTTACGGATGCTTTGTCATATGTACTATGCCCCACACCAACAGCAATAACAGGCATACCCTGATTAAGACAGAAACCACCTTCAGTTGAAATAATACAATTGTAATTCTGTATTGAGCAGTACCGGAAGCCAAATGCACCCAGAGGAAATAGATGAATGTAATTTTACCTCTTTTGAGTAACCTGAAAGTCCTACAAGCTGAGAGTCACGCACTTTTCGGTAAAGCTCAGCAGGAACAATAGGTTTCTGGGAAAATGAAATTATTGGATTAGAATGTTATATCATACATACAGGCTCCTTATGATATTCCACCCACATAAAGACTCAAACTTCCTAGAAGATGCTAGTGATAACTGATAATATACATCATAACCAGTGAGTTGTATGACATGTCTCCGGACTGTAACTAA